GACCGGTATGCCCCCTAAACTACAACTCCTATCCCCGTTTAAACTACAGCCCAAATACCCTCTATGATACCATCCCACACTAAAGTCCTTTTTTTATCCTCACACACAATGCAGCCCTTTTTCCCCACAAACACTGCAGCCCCTTTCTCCCACTGCACTACTGACCTTATTTCTCCTACAATGCAACCTCTTTCTCCCACATTGCCCTTATCGACCTACAATACAGCCTTTATTTTCCCCTCACACAGTCCCTATAGTCCCCAGACACACACACTCAACTGCCCATACTGTGTCCATAGAAACATGAAACACCACAAGCATAGACACAATACGACAAGCAGCATACTCCCACACAGGCATGATGCCCATATACATGCAACACCATAAACAGCACTCCTAAAAGGAGAATCCCCACAAACAGGCAATGCCACAAGCAGCTTCCAACCATGAAATATCACAAAGAGTATGTCACGCCAGGGTGCATAATTCATTGTCACATTATAGAATATCTCTATTAAATGTGACAATTAATTATACTTACATTAATTGGTTACCTGGTAGAGGTGGTATTTACAACTTCAGCATGAGAGGGGTTAATTTGCTTATATAGGAATGTGATAGATGTCAGAAGGTTTACAACATGTATTCCTCGTTTGAAGCGGTGAATCTAACCCAGTGGCAGAACTAATTTAGAAAGGGCCCTTGTGCAAGAAATGTTTTTTGGCCACCCACATGCGCAAGGGTGGCCAAAAGGTAGCTCCTTATCTGTCGTACAACTCCCACAATTCTATTCCAACTTGAGATCTACCATTTATCCATCTTTGCAAGGTTTTATTTGTGAACAGTGTTTGTGTGCTTGAATGTAAGCATGTTGTTGTATAGAGTATATATGTGCATATGACGTTGTAGTTGTATGTACTGTTGCTATTGGAAAGTGGTGGTGTACTTGTGTGTAGTGTTTGCGTTTTAATGCAGGGGTGTGTTTGTATGTAGTGTTGGCTTTTAAATGCAGGTGTACATTTGTGTGTAGTGTTGGTATGTGAATAAAGGGTGTTTGTATATAACTTGAACGTTTTAATACAGGGGTGTGTTTGTATGTAATGTTTGAAGGGGTGTGTTTGCATGGTGTGTTTGATTGCTGGGATGTATGCATATACACACACACTGCAACACACATGCATATGTACACAGATAAACATACACATTTACACACACACACAGATACACACACAAACACCCTGACACACACAGATACACACATTGACACATACAAACACACTGACACAGAGCTATACACACTGACACATACATACACCGATACACTCACTGACACATAGATACATACACCCTGTTCCAAATTATTATGCAAATTATATTTTTCTCATTTACCTAAATAATTGATGTAAATAACAGTCAGCATAATTCTCATGTTATCAGCTATTAAGAGTACAATTCAAATTTTATTGAACAAACCTCCTAATGATAACAGTATTTGTTTTAAACATTAAAAACTTACAATGCACTGTTCCAAATTATTACGCACAGTAAGTTTCAAAACACTTTATAGGTTGTACAGAACTGAAAATTGTCATTTGTTGTGTTTGCAGCATATTTACTGAAATCAAAAGCTATTTCAATCAAACTTATAACAAGATTTAACTTTTAAAACATTTTAACAGGTCACGTTACATAGGACCCCTTATTTAATAGCAGCTTCACATGTCTTGCATCCATTGAACATGTGAGTTTTTGGACAGCTTCTGCTTGAATTTGTTTGCAAAATATCAGAATAGCCAGAGCTGCTGTTTGGATTTAAACTGCCTCCCACCCTCATAGATCGTTTGCTTGAGGATGCTCCAAAGGTTCTCAATAGGATTGAGGTCAGGGGATGATGGAGGCCACACCAGGACTTTCTCTCCTTTTATCCCCATAGCAGCCATTGATGCAGAGGTATTTTTTGCAGCATGAGATGGTGCATTGTCATGCATGAAGATGATTTTATTACGGAAAGCATAGTTCTTCCTTCTGTACCAGGGAAGAAAGTGGTCAGTCAGAAACTCCACATACTTTGAAGAAGTCATCTTTACACCTTTGGGAACCCTAAAGGGGCCAACCAGCTCTCTTCCCATGATTCCAGCCCAAAACATGACTCCACCACCGCCTTGCTGACGTCGCAGCCTTGTTGAAACAGGGTGGCCGTCCACCAACCATCCACTACTCCATCCATCTGGACCATCCAGGGTTGCATGGCACTCATCAGTGAACTGTCTTCATGTATTTTTCTGCCTAATGCAGCCGTTTCTGTTGTGAGCATTGGTTAGTGGTGGCCGAATAGAAGGTTTGTGCATAGTTACAAGACTCTGGAGGACTCTACACCTTGATGTCCTTGGGACTCTAGAAGCACTAGCAACTTCAAATATCTATTTGCTGCTATGTAATGGTATTTTAGCAGCTGCCTTTATCTGCACGAACTCGTCTATGCTCTGAATCAGCCACAAATCTCTTAATAGTGCGATGATCACGCTTAAGTTTTCGTGAAATATCTAATGTTTTCATACCTCGTCCAAGGCATTGAACTATTTCACTCTTTTCGGCAGCAAAGATATCCTTTTTCTTCCCCATATAGCATGAAAATGGTGCTCTGTTTAATAATGTGGAACACCCTCCTTTAGTAGTTTTCCTTAAATTAGGCTCACCTGGCAATCTAATTATCACAGGTGTCCAAGATTGTTTTCAGTGATCAAAAGAGCCCTGAGACACAATGCCATCCATGAGTTAAACTGAAAAACTAAATATTTAATCTTTGTGACACTTAAATAGAATTTGCATAATAATTTGGAACAGGGTGTACACACACACAGTGCCTTGAAAAAGTGTTCACCCTCCTTGGCATTTTTCGTGTTTTGCTGCCTCACAACCTGGAATTAGCATGGATTGTTTGAGGATTTGCATCATTTAATTTACAGAACATGCCCACAACTTTGAAGACTTTTTTTTTTTTATTGTGACGCAAACAACAAATTGGACAAAATAACAGACAAAGTCAATGTGTATAACTATTCACCACCCTAAAGTCAATACTTTGTAGAGCCACCTTTTGCGACAATCACAGCTCCAAGTCGCTTTGGATAAGTCTCTATGAGCTTGCCACATCTTACCACTGGGACTTTTGCCCATTCCTCCTTGCAAAACTACTCCAGCTCCTTCAAGTTGGATGGTTTGCACTTGTGAACAGCAATCTTTAAGTCTGACCACAGATTTTCTATTGGATTGAGGTCTGGGCTTTGACTAGGCCATTCCAACACATTTACATGTTTCCCCTTAAACCACTCAAGTGTTGCTTTAGTAATGTGTTTGGGGTCATTGTCCTGCTGGAAGGTGAAGCTCTGTCCTAGCCTCAAATCACGCACAGAATGGTACAGGTTTTGCTCAAGAATATCCCTGTATTTAGCACCATCCATCTTTCCCTCAACTTTGACCAGTTTCTCAGTCCCAGCTGCTGAAAAACATCCCCACAGCATGATGCTGCCATGTTTCACTGTGGGGATGGTGTGTTTGGGTGATGTGATGTGTTAGGTTTGCGCCAGGCATAGTGTTTTCTTTGATGGCCGAAAAGTTCAATTTTAGTCTCATCAGACCAGAGCACCTTCCTCCATACATTTTGGGAGTCACCCACATGCCTTTTCGCAAACTCAAATGTGCCATTTTGTTTTTTGCTGAAAGTAATGGCTTTCTTCTGGTCACTCTACCATAAAGCCCAACTCTATGGAGCGTACGGCTTATTGTCGTCCTATGAACAGATACTCCAGTCTCTGCTGTGGAACTCTGCAGCTCATCCAGGGTTACCTTAGGTCTCTGTGCTGCCTCTCTGATTAATAGAGGGCTGGGTGGAATATCAGTACTTGTAATTATAGTATGTGGCTGTTGAAACTTCCCAAAAACCAGAGTCTCTTCTTTTCTGGTGGTATGATGGGTGCAAATTGTAGGATCGGGGAGCAGCACCTGTTATGGAATTTCCACGCTCCGAGACCATTTAAAAGCTCAGAAACCCTTTGCAGGTGATATGGCTTACTTGGCTGATTAGAGTGGGAGTTTCTAGACTCTTGCACCTTTTCACAATATTATAATTTACTGAGATTGTGGATTTGGGGTTTTCATGAGCTGTAAGCCATAATCATCGCACTTATGACAAATCACGGCTTGAACTATCTTGCTTCGCATGTAATGCGTCTATCTCATATATCAGTTTCCTCTTTTACGTTGCATTAATAAAAAAAATAAATGAACTTTTGCACGATATTCTAATTTTTTGAGTATCACCTATATGCAGGCGTGGGTGGTATGATCCCCACCAAGGATATCACTCCTCAAGTCCTCCAGTGGGGGTGTTGGAGAGAGTACAAAGGAATTATATTTGGATGGTTAGGGACTTACGGGCCACCATGTACTTTTTATTAAGAAAAATCCTGTATTTGAGAAATCTTTTGCCATTACGCAACTTTCCCTGCTGACTAGAATCTTCACAAGTCTGTATGTTAACCTTGGCACAACAAAAATAAAGAATGGAAAAAAAAAAAACACGCTAAATAAATAAATAATTAATAATATACCTCAATTAAGTTATGTGTTTGTCTAGGAAAGTTACCTGATTAGACCACTTTATTAGAAATTCGAAATCACATTCTTAATATTGTTCACAGAAATTAACTTTTCAGTTCTTTTTGGTCAAAATGTCTGCTTCCAAAATGAAACTTTCACCCTATTTACATTTTATGTAATAATTACATTATTCATAAATCACTGTATTGACTCCGCGCTTTCTTCGCCTTGGTTATTAAACTCGATATTTAATATCCATTATGGCATTGGCATGCCTGCCTTTAGTCCCTGAATGATGCTCAGCCCTGTCAGCGTTGCTAGGCAACAGTTCACCAGCTAGGGCGGCCTGGGGACCGGAAGTCGCTGGCTGCTGGATGGGAATTTCTGCGCGTGCGTCCAGAACGTCATCCCTCTTGACCCGGAAGTTCTCTGCGCTCCAGTGCTGACACGTAGCAACGGGAGAGGCTGCCGTACAGAGCAGAAGGGGGAGCCCGGTACATACCGGTCTGAGAGCTGAACCGCACTGACGGAGCTAACAGCAGGTCTTTGCCTTTATTCAGCCGTCTTGTACCTTGTTATGGCTATTTACTAATCTTTAACAGTCCGTATGTTCGCCCGCGTACAGCTTTATCGCCAACACAGAGGCCAGAAAGCCCAGTGTAAGCCGGGGTGATGGATTGCTGACACACTGCGACATGGATTACTTGTACCGTGAACCTGGGCCGGCCTAGGTGGCAGCAGCTACAGGGTCTCTGACCCAGGCAGTGTCTAGGAGACAGCAGCTACAGGGTCTCTGACCCAGGCAGTGTCTAGGAGGCAGCAGCTACAGGGTCCCAGCCCCAGGCAGTGTCTAGGTGGCAGCAGCTACAGGGTCTCTGACCCAGGCAGTGTCTAGGAGGCAACAGCTACAGGGTCTCTGACCCAGGCAGTGTCTAGGAGGCAGCAGCTACAGGGTCCCAGACTCAGGCAGTGTCTAGGAGACAGCAGCTACAGGGTCTCTGACCCGGGCAGTGTCTAGGAGGCAGCAGCTACAGGGTCCCAGACCCGGGCAGTGTCTAGGAGGCAGCAGGCAGCTACAGGGTCTCTGACCCGGGCAGTGTCTAGGAGGCAGCAGCTACAGGGTCCCAGACCCGGGCAGTGTCTAGGAGGCAGCAGCTACAGGGTCCCAGACTCAGGCAGTGGCAGTGTCTAGGAGGCAGCAGCTACAGGGTCTCTGACCCAGGCAGTGTCTAGGAGGCAGCAGCTACAGGGTCCCAGACCCGGGCAGTGTCTAGGAGACAGCAGCTACAGGGTCTCTGACCCAGGCAGTGTCTAGGAGGCAGCAGCTACATGGTCTCTGACCCAGGCAGTGTCTAGGAGGCAGCAGCTACAGGGTCTCTGACCCAGGCAGTGTCTAGGAGGCAGCAGCTACAGGGTCTCTGACCCAGGCAGTGTCTAGGAGGCAGCAGCTACAGGGTCCCAGACTCAGGCAGTGTCTAGGAGGCAGCAGGCAGCTACAGGGTCCCAGACCCGGGCAGTGTCTAGGAGGCAGCAGCTACAGGGTCCCAGACTCAGGCAGTGTCTAGGAGACAGCAGCTACAGGGTCCCAGACCCAGGCAGTGTCTAGGTGGCAGCTGCTACCCAGTCAGTGTTGGTTTAGGGTGGCAGGAGCCCAAGGTAGACACCCAGATGTAGTGGAACTACGTATCTCCCCACTGTGTTCCTCTTTTCTATCCTAATGTCTCACTGTTCCAGGAGTTGCAAATTGTGTAACAGAGCTCCACAACAACAAAACTCGCAGTAATGTGTGTTTAGAAACCAGTCTGTGTATATAAGTTTTTTTTTTGTTTTTTTTTCTAAATAATAACTTGTTTCAATAAATTTCAGTAAGCCATCTAAAATTTATCGGAACAGCCCTGGTCACACCCTTGCAATTTAAGTGTCCCTCTTTGCTGCGTGACTCTTTTTCCACGCATGTGCAATAGAATATGGATTGGCTGAGAATGTCAATTTTTCTGAACTCAGCGACGATGGGTCCGCGCAGCATCCAACAGCGCTGTACTCCTTACAAAAAGCATGTCAAACTCGCGGGCAGCATGTAGCCTACAACGGGCATCTTTGAGGCCCGGCGAGCCGTGAGTACATGCTTGGTGTTAAAGCAGAGTAGGCACCTGCTCTCCTCACATTGCAGGTGCCTACTCTGCTAAAATTTACTTGGCCAGGAGGAGAAGTCTCTGGAGGAGCTCAGTCTTCCTGCTTCCTCACGAGCGCCGTCTGTAGCGATGCCGGGTGCTGGAATATGACATCATATTCCGGCATCCCTAAAGTGCGTGAGGAAGCAGTGAGCAGCAGGAAGGAGATCTCAAGATAGAAGATCCCCACTGGACATTCTTGTGTGCAAGAATGTGTGTGTCAGTGAGTGGAGGACCTGGAGGTGCACGGAGGCCTGCAACGCCACCTTACTTTCAAATGTGATGTCTTCATGCTCTACCTTCACAGGGTTTCAAGAAGTAGTGGGTTGATCCGCTTTGGCACAGGGTACAGACAGCGCCATTTGGGGTATACCAGAGGCCAGACTCCAGAGTTGCATACTGGCAGCGGCAATGTGAGTGGAGTCTGCTTGTTGGCTTGAGGGGGGGGGTGCTGGGATTTAGTAGAGGGGGTGCTGGGATTTAGTTGAGGGGGACTGGGATTTAGTAGCTGGGGGTTTTTTTTGTACTGTACTTTTCAAAATAAACCTACGTTTCTATGAAAATTTGAGTTTTGTTTCTTTTTTGCGGTCCACATAAACTTAAACCTTGTTTATTTGGCCCGTGCTAGATTTTGAGTTTGACATGCTTGCCTTACAATAATATCTATGGAGGATTCTGTAAGACACTAGTGACAGCTGAGGGTTTGACAAAAGGCAGCTCCGGCTATTGTCAAGTGTAAGGAAAATACACAAGACAAAGTAGTCCCTACTTTGTATTTTGATAACATTTGACTGGGTTAGAATTTCTGTGAAATTCCAACACAGTCTTTAAGAGCATTTCATTTTTTCTTTATGAAACATTCATTTTTGGGCAGTGACTTTAAGGTTGGCAAAGCATTATTGAAAGAGTTGTTTTACAGGATCTACCTTTTGGTCAACTCTTGTTCAGAGGCTCACTAATGTTCATCAGTGTGTTTGTAAAATATTATTTTCATTCATATCTTCTTGGGGCTATAACATAAACATAACAAAAAAAATAAATAGTGCAACATGTAGTGCACAGAAAGTGGAATCCCTTGTAAGTAAATGTAAGACTACTCGCATTTATTTGAGCCTATATTACTATCTCAAGTATAAGAGGCATTATCAAACAGATGCTACTTATTTCTTGGGACCAAAGCTCTCCAAAACCCTCCAAGAGTTGGGAGATACACAGGATCATTGAACTACTTAAGGACGGAGTCAATTGTGCATGTTCTGAACAAAACGTAAACAAACCTGAGATTTTCGCTATATGTCTGTTCAACTGTAATTCAACTCTTTCATATTAAGTGCACCTAAAATTATTAAATATAATTTGTTCATGAGGAACAAGGCTTTTCTTTTACCACAAAAGGGATATATAAAGAAGGGGGTTCGACTCCGAAAGATATCAGCCTTCTCGAGATACCCCTGAGGGGAGACACTCATTTTACTAAATGTCTTGTACGTTTTCTACCTCCTGAAGTCTCTGTCGATAACATTATGTATTTCACCATATTCAGACTTTTTTTATTTCTACATTCCACATTGTTTTTAATCCACCCTGATTTCCAGGTTGTATATACTTTTATATAGAAACATAGAAACATATAATGTGACGGCAGATAAGAACCATTCGGCCCATCTAGTCTGCCCAATTTTCTAAAAACTTTAATTAGTCCCTAGCCTTATCTTATAGTTAGGATAGCCTTATGCCTATCCCATGCATGCTTAAACTCCTTTACTGTGTTAACCTCTACCACTTCAGCTGGAAGGCTATTCCATGCATCCACTACCCTCTCAGTAAAGTAATACTTCCTGATATTATTTTTAAACCTTTGTCCCTCTAATTTAAGACTATGTCCTCTTGTTGTGGTAGTTTTTCTTCTTTTAAATATAGTCTCCTCCTTTACTGTGTTGATTCCCTTTATATATTTAAATGTTTCTATCATATCCCCCCTGTCTCGTCTTTCCTCCAAGCTATACATGTTAAGATCCTTTAACCTTTCCTGGTAAGTTTTATCCCGCAATCCATGAACCAGTTTAGTAGCCCTTCTCTGAACCCTCTCTAAGGTATCAATATCCTTCTGAAGATACGGTCTCCAGTACTGTGTACAATACTCCAAGTGAGGTCTCACCAGTGTTCTGTACAATGGCATGAGCACTTCCCTCTTTCTACTGCTAATACCTCTCCCTATACAACCAAGCATTCTGCTAGCATTTCCTGCTGCTCTATTACATTGTCTGCCTACCTTTTAAGTCATCAGAAATAATCACCCCTAAATCCCTTTCCTCATATGTTGAGGTTAGAACTCTATCAAATATTCTGTACTCTGCCCTTGGGTTTTTACGTCCAAGATGCATTAGTTTAGTGGTGGACATCACTTCCGGTCCAAACAAAGAACTCCTGCAGGGCAAAGGAGAAGACATAGGTGGCACAGGGGGATTGGGGCATGCATGCTGGTATCACATACCAAATATGCACAGGATTCACAACATTATGGCCCAATGATGTGACTGGAGGTGGAGTTACACATTCAGCAGCAAAGGGATTTCACTTTGAGTGTGCAGAGTTGCATAGCCAAACGCCGCACATACAGACTCCAGGTATCATGATCATGGCAAATCGGTGATCATGATGCGAAGTCAGGAAATTTGAAGTAATTCATTAATATCTTAGTGGCTGGATTTTAATACTCTTCTTTCTGCCATAGGGAATCAAATACTTTAAATATATATATATATATATATATATATATATATATATATATATATATATATATATATATATATATATATATATATATATATATATATATATATGTGTGTGTGTGTATATATATTTATTTTCTCAGACAAGATATATCTATATATTAAATGTTGTTTTTTTGTGACTTACAGACCTGCTGACATGGCCAACTATGATAACCTCAATGCAGACTTCTTCCAGACAAGCTACAGCATTGACGATCCGGCTCAGGCATACAATTACAATGCAGGCGGAGGGCAGTACAACAAGTAATTGTTTTTGTTTTGCCTATTTTAACATACACCTGTTAAAACAAATTAGGTTAGACAACTCCCATACAGAGTCTACAGTTTAGTTTTTATCAGTGCAGTTTTCTGTTTAGTGAATAAAACCATTTACATATTTCTCATGTTTAGCAAAATATGGGATTCAGTCCTCTCATATAAATTATAGAAGAATTGTTTCATGCAGATGTACATTTCATCAAATGTTTTGGTCAACTTAGCAGAAAATTGGATACATACTTTTGCACTCTTAGAGAGGTAGTAGAAACCTGGTTAGCTAGTGTGCAAACTAAAAGTTAATTGTTATTAAAATCATAGCTTTATGACTCTGTGATCGCCTTCATGTTGGACATATATATACATTTTACAGGGACCAAGTGAAGGAGTGTGTGTGTGTGTATGTATGTGTGTGTGTGTATATATATATATATATTTTTTTTTAAATATGGATAACAGTTCATTTCTAAGTGCATGCATTATTTATATAGGTTATGATATAAAATAAGTTTAAGAATATACTGTGGGAGGAGTTCTTTGAAGTGTGGCAGGCATAGGCAACTTCAGAGAGAGAAGATAATCATGGCAAATGGTTAAGCTTTCATACAGCTAAAACATTATTGGGTTGGAGTATTGAAATTCCCTAGTACATATAATGGAACATATTTAGAATTAAATATATACAGGATAAAATGGCTTCAACTTTTAGTCCAGTCAGCTATTTTTCCAGCTTGGATAATTTGCATTACAGCAGGAGTCTTCCTGTGCAGAACATGGGTGATCTGGAAGCTCTACAAATTTACGGAGATGCTCATTAATTCATCAAACTACCAATTTATCTACCAGTGTTAGAGATCAAAATATAATTATTGTCCCAGCTTCATAGTGAGCATGTGTAACGTCAGTTAGGGGTATGGTTGTGCACTGGTATGCACAAATTGACTTTTTAACAATATAGATGCACGTTTGGGACTCTTATAATGATTTTTGCAATGTATGCCCTAAATATCCATGTTTTTTTTTTTTCTCTCAAACAGACAATATGGTTATGATTACAGCCAACAAGGCGGTTACATTCCTCCTGATATGTTGAACCCACAGCAGCCATACACAGGACAGATATACCAGCCAAGTCCAGCCTTTACTCCTACAGTAACAGAATCAGTTTACGGAAGTTCATTTGATGATGAACCACCTTTACTAGAAGGTAATGTTAGAATTTCTTACTTACTGATATTAAATTAATTTTTCCTTGATATAGACAGCATAGGAGGACAGTTCTGGTTTATCTTTAATGTGTCACATATGAATGTAGTTTACTGTGTGTATATTTTCACATATTGTACAGCGCTACGGAATCTGATGGCACTATATAAATAATAATATGGCCTTATCCAGTCAAAAGCATCACTGGTTTATTCATCTTAAAATACCACTTCACACCCATAAAGCACTATAGCAAGCTGAAGTGCTTTATGGATGTGGAGTGGTATTTTAAGATTGAGGGCAGGCACATGGTTAGAGTTAATGTAAATATACAGTTAGGGGTATGGTTAGTATAGAGGTGAGACAGTTGTATAAGGTTAGCGTAAACTACCAAAAATTAATCTAGATCCTAGGTAACTTTATGAATATGTGAATCTAATTTGAGCTCTTTTTCTTTAGTTGCACTGGATGTGTAAAAATTCTCACATTTTGTAACATTTTATTCAGAATTAATATTGTTAGGTATACATATAGGATATTCTAAGAAAGGCCTTTCTTTCCTTTAAAATAATGTCTGTGGAACAAACACACAACACAAAGATTTTGTTTTGTTTTGGAACTTGGACAATTGCCTCCATCCCTCCGCTAAAGGATTGTTTTATTAAAACACTTTTTGGGGGAAAAAAATATTTGCCCCTCTTTCCAAAAAACCCCAACAACCTTGCTTATCAAATGTGTGCACACTTTAGGTGTTTTTAAATTTGCAATTTTGCACTATATTTTGTTTGGGTTTATTTTCTCTTTTTTTGAAAACTCTGAGGAGACCTCTTAGAGTGACAGGAACAGGAATTGAGTGGTACTATGGTATATGAAGTTTTCTGTAAGAAAAGCAGTCCACTTACTATGTTTTATATTTCTAAAGTTGTGTTGGTACGGCGTATCCCTTTATTTAACTTTGTTATATAAATTTGTGCCATATAATTTGTAAGCAGAATGTACGTAGCTAATGTTTGTGATAAGATTCTTTGTTTTTAAGGGTTTTCATTACATCATGATAGCGGAGTTTATTCCTACTAACTTAACAGGAGCTGTCGAAACAAACTGATGTTTTTCCTATATGCAATTTCAATGTATGTTTGTATGTGACAACTATATTACAATTTCTCTTTGTCAATGTTTAAGATCAAGATATTCTTCATTTATATATCTTCTTTTTATCTGTCTTTATGTCTCAGAACTGGGAATCAATTTTGACCACATTTGGCAGAAAACATTGACAGTGCTACACCCACTGAAGGTAGCAGATGGCAGTATTATGAATGAGACTGATTTGACTGGACCAATGGTCTTTTGTCTTGCTTTTGGAGCCACATTGCTGTTGGTTTGTATATTTTTTTTTTTTTTATTTATTTTTTTTCTTGCCCTAAACATAAATGTTATGTATACCCAAGAGTTGGAGAGTAGTTTATTGTTGCTGTAGCTTTAACACTAGGGTACCATATTTGATATTTATATGCCAGTTTTGATCAACTATTTGTTGACTGTAAAGCTAAATAAAGTGTTTCTAAACCGTTCTTATATAGCACTTTTATCCAGAGCGCTTTCCAATTTGTACAAAAAGAACATTGGTAATTATGCAAACAGGGATATATAATTAGAGACACTGATGCAAAATAAATTAGCTGATGTCGTTAATAAGACATCTTGTGCAAGTGCTTGAAGTGGTTTTATTTTAATACTAAGTTTTGATTTTCTGCAATAACTTTAGCTCTATGAGGCACTTTAGACTTAAAGAGAGCTCAGAGTCTCTCTTTAAGTCTATTGTATTTGAGCCTTTCTCCAAAGCCATACCCCCTCACTCCATAAAGAATTCATTTTCAGGTATGCACACAGCTCACCCACTAACAAGTAAGTGAAGGCTTATTCCGCAAAATGTTTTGTTTTGTTTAAACCCCCAAATTTATATATATATATATATATATATATATATATATATATATATATATATATATATATATATATATATATATATATATATATATATATATATATGAGAGAGAGATATAAAATTTGAGCATGGTAAAAAAAAAAATATTACTAATGAGCACAAAACAACTCAAATGCATTAAAGTTATATTGGTGCCCACAGTGTCCCTGTTAAAGTTTCTTCAATTAACATATTTACTGCTTTCTGTGACAGGCAGGAAAGATCCAGTTTGGCTATGTGTATGGGATCAGTGCAATCGGCTGTTTTGGAATGTTTTGTCTTCTCAATTTGATGAGCATGACTGGAGTTTCATTTGGCTGTGTATCCAGTGTCTTGGGCTACTGTCTTCTCCCTATGATTATCCTGTCCGGCTTTGCTATTGTATTTTCATTGCAGTAAGTCGCTAAATAATTTCAAATAATATAAAAAAAAGTTTGTTTTGTTTTTGTTTTTTTTCACCCCTCCCTGTGATGTTTTGTGATGAATATCCTTATAACTCCACAGTAAGATGTAGCTTGAAACCCCATTTTATGATTTGAGTCACACGGCAAAAACAATGCTATATGATGTGTGTTTGTGCACTATGGCAACTTTATTAGATTACACCTTCCTGATGAAAATGAATAAATAGAAAATCTGGTCGCTACAACACAATATATGAAACATACTGACACGGCCAAAAGGTGTAGTTTTTGACCAAACACTAAAGGGGTACTCCAACCAAAAGAGTATCCCTTTCTGTGTTCTCTCCTCAGCTCGATCCTCCTTGGCTGATATCACAAACCCTTGCCGGAAAGGTGAGGGAAGTCAGGGAGGATGGACTGAGTGGCGTACAGGTGCATCACAGAGTGGGGCTGTGCCACCCTTTGCTCTCTGGTTCCGGCATGCTGGTGTTCGATACTAATTTTGAACAGGTTTGTCCGGAAAATTTGATTCTGGCTAGCTAATCACTCTTGTTGACATGTTCAGAGTTTTAGTTACACCACCGGCAGCAAAGAGGTTAATCTCCGTATGTGCAGCATTTTCAGTAAGAAATGATCAAATCATTGAAGTGATCATGTTGCTTGAAATAACCCTCTAAAATGGGGAAGTCACATAATCTGAGGGACTCTGAGGTATGGTTTCAAGCAAAAATGCAAATATAACTTTTTTCAAAAAAATTAAAAATTTGGATGTATGTGTGCTAATTCCAATGTGCAATGTGTACAACCTGTGCTCCAACAAGACCAAACTAGATTCCACTCCTGGAGAAAAACAAAAAAATCAGAGTAGAGAAGGATGAGTTAATACTAAAAATGGGCAAATAAAAATGATTAGTGTTTTGCATATGTCCTACACCATACAGATGTTCAGTTCAGAATGTAGGCATTCAGCGCTCCACCTCTTCCAGTGTAAACCGTGCTGGGTGGGGGCTAATGCTCGTTGAGCCACGTTTGTATTAGGCCCTCACCATAGGAAAGCATTGCTTCAATGATTTCCTATAGAGATTTCACAGTGTGTGAAGACGTCCACTGTCAGGGGACCAAAAGTCGGTTAGCCACCAAGAAGTAGCTATTTAGGGCTAGTAGCAGTCTAACAGCCACTAGAGGCAGTCTTAATCCTGCAATGTAATTATTACAGTTTCTCTAAAAACTGTTACTATAGCTGTATAAATGGAGTGATTTAACTCCTGAATGGCAGAGAATTGAGCATTGAGACTGCAGGGGCATGATCTGCACACCAAAGCTAATTAAGCTAAATCTGATTAATCTTGAGGACTACTGAACTTGACAGTGGCTTAATTTTACTAAAATGACATTCACAGCCACATTTGGAATGGGAGGTGGTATAGGAAATATTTAGCATTAATGTGTCACAAAAAGGTTGCAGGAGCGCTGCGATGCTATTAAGCACGCATGGACTAGATATCCAGAGTAATGTTTCTATTTACTTATGGAATTTGTGTGAATAAATCAGCCTGTTCCGGGAGCAAATTAAGGTGTTAATCACTGTAAGTCAGATGTACCTATGCCTTACAAAGTCACCAATGAATGTACAATTTTCATTTATTTTATTTGTAAATTATTTAATTTTCCATGCAAATTAGATTCTTCTAATTTTTGTAAAAAAAATTTTTTAACAAATACAAAAAAAGAAGTTTGCAAAAACCCTATAAACATTTTAATTTATGTGCTTATTTTTATTCTGATTACTGCTCTGTCACCTGCTGGTGGTGTCATTTTAAGGTCAATCTTATTTTGTCTACTTTATCATTTGTCTTCTTATCTGTAAAACTTTGACAATCTGTTTTAATCAAAACCGTATCTCTCATTAACATACAGAAAAAAACAAAGTAACTGAAAATTACAATCTATATGAATAGCACACAAAACAAAATTATCTCCATTATTGGCCAATATTGTTACTTTACAAGATGTCCTTGTAAATATTTATTTTGCATTTTCCCTGTATATTCAATTAAACTCACACTGTTTTTTTTCCTTTTAATTTCAGAGGAATTGCGGGTATACTTCTAGCATCTCTAATAATTGGGTGGTGCAGCTTTTCTGCCTCAAAGATATTCATTTCTGCTTTGGCCATGGAGGGACAGCAGCTCCTCGTCGCCTATCCTTGTGCTTTACTTTATGGAGTGTTTGCCCTTATTTCTGTTTTTTGAACTGAATATTTCAAAATGACTTTAAAGGGCCAAACTGCAATCAGTCATACCAGAATGGACCAGTGAGTTGTCGCAAACATACACTGTTTTGTGTACTTCAAGGGGGATCAATGGATGAACATGTACAGCTTTTGTTCATATTTTATAGTGAACTTTTAAATACTGGAGGGACTCAAAAAGTCTTTAGCTTTAATAAAAGCTCATGTTTATAAGTTAAAAAGGTGACTTTTTATGGTTAAAAGTTACAAGCATGCTGTTACATTTCACTACAGGGTGGTTCTATAGTGAGAATAGCAGCAATGTTGTCACGAAGTCTCATACATTCTACTTTTTATAGTTAACTAAGGCAAAGTGGATGCCACATTGCATTTGATCACTAAAACCGTAAAAGGGGTTTACATGCCAAACGGTGAATTGTGGGAGTTGACATTTTTTTTTTTCTTCAACTGTCTAAATTTTGCACCACTTTAAATGTTTAGTTAATAAACCACAATGTTTTCAGATCACTCTTACAAAAAAGTTCTAGCACAAATATTTTCACAAATTTTTTTTTTTTGGTAGTAGTAATTTTAATTATTCCAGAATTCAAACTGTTAAAGAGAACCTGATTTACACAAAAGTATGGATGACAAGTTCTCCTTTAGATAGATATATAAACTGCAATCTATACGTTGTGCAAGTTAAATCACCTGACTGCTTGTCTTCAGTTGACGTCTTCAGTTGACGTCTTCAGAATGCTTAGCTGAAAAAACTTCATTGTGAGATATCACAAGTAAGATGTGGGAGTAAATTACTGAAATAATGTATTTTTGGAATCCCTGGTGTCCATATTTGTATTTTGTTTACACTTATGTGCCAATAGTAGGAAAGTAAAGGCTAAATTATAGAAATAACATATTTTTTCATATCATTATAGTTAAAACAAGGTTTGCCCAAGTTCCAAAAATATATATATATAGAGAGAGAGATGTTTAGAGTGGGGAAAAAAAAGAAAGGAGGAGCTTTTGAAAAAACAAACAAAATTGAGTAAACCGTTCAATATGAAATCTTGCACTAGTTCACCTATACCTGTAATAGAGCATATTAGCTAAAGGAACACAGGAGATCACAAGCTACAAGGATATAAAGAAAATCCAGTCAATATAATCAGTGGTGAGTATATTGTTTTGTCAAAATGTGTGGAAGAAGCTATGGTCTCAAAAAGTCTAATCTCCTCTACCACATTATTACATTATTTTCAGTAGTGGAGAGTGTCTTTAATTCGTGTCAGTGGTATAAGTGCCTTAGCTGCATGTAGCAGTCTTAGAGCTATGTTCTTTAAAAACTTTAAGACGGCAAGAAGCGTGATGAAAGTTGTCTGATATTTTACAGTTAACGTTGATAGTAATTACAAAAATACTACAACTCCATCAAATATGTAAAACTACTAAAGTGCTGCTTCCTCAATGTTTGTTTCATGGAAAAATAAGAGTAGGGAGATAATATTGGGGAAAAAAAAAACTCATAATGCAAATAAATCTGATGCAACTAAACCATGCTCTAGTGAAAATCCAAATCCAGATGGTTGTAACATGAAGAATATATTACACTCTTCTCCAAAGTAATGAACAGGAATTACTCTTGTAATTGCTTATTTATTGCGGGAAAAGATAACATATATACACTAGGCCGTAAACAAAATAACGTTCAAGGGAAATGAATCCAAATGCAGGGAACAAGCAAGAAAGTACGCGTTTCACAACTAAACATGCAACGCTTCTTCAGTTTGTGAGCTGCTGCAAATGTGGAAAACATTTTAAAAATGCAATGGCACACAGAAGGTTTAATTTTGCTCAATTCCGCAGACCGGCCATCACTGAAATGCAGTTTTTAATCGCATAACTTTAGTAAAAGAGGTTAACGGCATAATCACAGATGTTGAAAATATCCTAATGAGAATAATCTCCAAGGAGGTACAATCAATTATAACTAGGGCATAATGTACATGTTAAGCAAGTATTATAGTTATCATAGAAATTGATGACATGACTTTATATTACCATAGACTAAATTCAATGCTCCACGCAAGGCATTAATCAAAAAATCCTATAGTGATAGAACTCTGTATACAGGTAGGGACACAAACTAGTTCAATATTGAGTTATGTAGACTCTGGTGGCAATTGCAGATTAATTAAGTGCAGTTCAATGAACCAACCAGTACTTTACAATGCTTATCTCTATAGTAAAAATCTGTGCATCATCAGTTAAGCCATGCTGTGGTCTAAAAACATGACCTCCATGCCAGAAGAAGCCATGAGCACTCTTGTATCAAAGCTACATTATGAAAACCATGTCTACAAAGATGTAAATTGTAGGCGATATGCCCCTCCCCAAGAGAATCACCTAGTAGGCAACATCAGGTTTAAGATAAACAGGCTTTGAGGATCCAAGCCAATCCAATGCTGCATAAGGGAAGCAATGACAGTCTAGTGTTCAGGTGTGACATGACTCTTGGAGAGTCATTTGAGTATGTAAAGTTTACCTTGGTTATAGCTGCAGAAGCACCTTTAGTGGCTGTGTTCCTGACAGACGCTAGAGGTGTGTTAACCATGCTGTTTTGCAATTTCCATAGCATGGTTATCAGTTGCAGTGATAAAAAGGCAGGGGTAAGGCACCCAATGAAGTGGTCTGGATGCTTTATAGAGTCACTTTAAGACTCCTTTGCAGGAGCTTCCGGGTTCCAGAGAAGAAGGTGACTTGTGCACCCATTATTAAAATGATTACTTGGATTGGGAGGTCGATGTGCACTCCTGTCATCATAACTACTGCAGTGGGCTGTAGAGGTATTGGTGCTTGGAATGCTTTTTTTAATAGGCAAAAATACAGTCTGTACATGTATGTCTTGGCTAAACCACTATCAAAATTCATACAATTGAAGGTTCTACATTATGTTTTTGGCATTAAGGGTTAAAATGTACTGCCAGTGAGATGTACACATAGTATAGCAGTACTGAGCCACAAGTATTGTAGACTGTATACAGGACAGGTACACAGAACACGCTTACCAGATCCAGGAACTTACATCTGGTATGTATATAATGTAGAAGGTACATATTTGTAGGTGATTTTACTAGATTCATAGATACAATATTGGTGATCAATTGATGCAAAGCCATGCATGTTCGTAATGGAATATATATTTTAGTTGTGTGAGTTGTTTTTTTCTTATTTAGTATTGTATTAATCTGGTATTATAGAAATTGAAAATTGGTGTATTGTTTAATTTTTCTTTAATTGTTTGGCATTACCCAGAGCACTTCAAAGAATCTGAATGAAACTCTTACAAAACCTTACCTTAGTGCACCTTTGGTAAATCTTGCAAATTCCGAAAACACACTTGTAGATTTTTTTTTTTTTTTCTTTTTCAACTCAGGAGCCATGCACCTGCCCACGGGTACAAAGTTCCTATTAATGAGGAACATTATCTGCTAATGGAGCACAATGTCCTGTGTTCATGCAAGTATATTAGAATGATTACCTACTCAAATGAGAACTCATTACATGCAGAACTGTTCCCTTAATACATTTACAAACTTGAATCTATTTCTTTTGCACATTTGGTTCAAACAGAAAAAAATAAATATTGTTTTTGAGATCCTGAATAATTAGGTCTATTTTGGATATCTAAATTTGAATTATTCATATTTAAAACTAAACAGTGTTACTGATTGTTTTCAGCTTTATTACTAGTTATATTAAACCTATAATTTAAAATAACCTATATTTAAAATATTGTTTCCAGCAATGTATATATTATTTTACTGGATTTAATGTATAAATGGTGAATTGTGGTCAACTGGAAAACAACTATTGAGATGGAAATAAAACAGACCTGGACTTTTTTTTTTTTTTTTTAAATATTATTCCGCTATTTTAGCCTGAATGGTTTTTATTGTTTTACAAAAGGCTTCATGAATAGACCTACCAGGTCCAGTTTGTTGACCAGCTGTGATTTTATGGTATTTGTTTTTTATTAGCAGTACTATATGCTTTAAAGCAGCTTCACCAAAAAAAAAAAAAAATACATTTAGTAGATATAACACAATATGCATGTATTTTGTCTGCATATGATGTTTTGACTTGCAATATTTGCAGATCTAGTTTCAGCACTTACTGCTGATCTCATCCTTTTACCCAGCAAAGAATTCTCAGTGACCTGTATTACAGCCTATTGATAAGTCTTTGCAAGATGGTGCTCTAAGCAATTGCCTACCTCTTGAGTTTAGCTTGATGGAGCTAAACAACCAGGAAGTTACAGGATTGGCTGCCTGAATGACAGCCATGAACGAGCAACAATGCTCATTAATAAAAGTAGATTTTTATTGAAATTGGTGACAGACACACACATTCTTGCTGACACACATACACACACATACTTTTCATTTTTGTTCCTTACCTTATGGAGCCGATGAGGGGGCATCTCCCTGGGGTCCTTCCTGCTCCTCACTGCTCGCACGTGCGGTTTAGTAATGCCAGGTGCCGGAATATGACGTCATATTCCGGCGCCCGGCTTCACTTCAGTCGGCGCGAGGGAGCAGCGAGGAGCTGGGACACTGTGCTCCCTCGCGAACCTCCTCCCCGGCTAGGTAAATGCTAGCAGAGTAGGCACCTGCAATATGGGGAAAGCATTTGCCTACTCTATCACACTGAGCATGCACTCGCGGCTTGCCGGGCCACAAAGATGGTCCTTGTGGGCCGCATGCGGCCCGCGAGTTTGACATGCTTGGTGTAGTGGATGTGATACATTCACTGTTTTAGATTACTTCGTAATGCTATATAAGGATAGAGTCTATGGTTTTCTGTATAATCTATACCTCTTGGAAGGTGAGTGACAATTTGTTATTTATTTATATTTTTTATTTTCACCTCTGTAATATACAGGTAAAGGGCTCCCTTCTCAAAATGTATGCAACAGTACAACACCCATTAAAATGAGTATCTCCTAAAGAGTGTTTTCTGTTTAGGCTTGTTTAAATCTATTAAAGGAATATTAATTATGTGACTTGTTAAAACTAATTTTAATAATTTACATATTTACAATAATCATTTTCCTCTAAAGAAACGAGAATTTGAATGCTCATGCTATGTCCTTGAGAGAGGTTTCGTATACTGGGTATGATACATTTACTAAAGGGACACTCCAGTGCCAGGAAAACAGTTTTCGGTTTTCTCTCTCCCACCCCCCCATCCCCGGCTGCTAAAGGGGTGAAAACCCCTTCAGTCACTTAACTGAGACACCTGCCGATGTCCCTCGTCGGTGGTTTCGGGTCGCCGCCGCTCCTCCCCTTCCTTATGTCAGACGGTGGGCGAGACTGATCCTGCCCGCCGGCTGAGGAGACCTAATGCGCATGCGCGACTGTAACGGATCGCCTGGCACCCCAACTGGGTACCTCCGTTGAAGGATGCTTCCTGAGGACTCCAAGCACTCTGGCAGACACCACAATCACTGAACCGGAGAAACAAATAAATTCTCCCAAGCATATGAATGCTGTAGACAGTTGAATAGGAACCATACGAATAGGTTTACTCTCCTAGCAGTCAAACTGGAACAACATACAATAAATCCTTCCCCCAATAATGAGACGACACTTCACTTTGAGGGTTAAAACAGGAACTCCCTGTACTGTCACATACAGTCTCTTTTATTCCCAATCCACAAACATAGTACAGCCCACAGGGTGTTACAAAACAACCAATCAATCCGTACAATACACCCAGACACTCCCACACAATCTCCTCCCCTCTGCCTGTGATATGATTACTGAACACAATGGGTAATCTCATTATCACCGGCAGAGGAATACAGTTTTTACACAATATTTATAACTTCTAAAATATACATGTCACAAACATAAAACATACATTTTCAAGATCAATCCATTCAAGGGAACAACATATTAAAAAATGGCACGAATCTGACCAGGGGTTCAAAAGTTAAGGGAAAGTCCTTTGTGACTAAATGAAGCATGGCTTTCCGGCCCAAACCAGTTTCAGAGTCTTCTATCCTGGAGATTGAATTGAGAAGTAATTCAATTATCTCCCAGGACAGACACAAGACTCCATTATGCACATGGTGAGCACAAAGCATTAAAATATTATAAAATACACAAAGTCACATTTTATACATAAAACACAGACATGTCACATATCCCCAGATAGCTGGGATCTGAGCGCACAAAACTACCGAATAGCGCTCAGATCCTATTCACACAGTTCAATTGCCATGGAGCCGAAGTCTTTAACTACACGAATGGGCTCCATAGCATAGCTATCTGGGTTAACCCATTCACATAAAGTCTGGTCCATAGTCCAAAGGCAAGAGGCGGGCAAGCAGCCCCCTCCAAGGACACGTGGCGAGGCCGGTTTTGCCACAGCGACAAGGCCGCGCACACGCATAGAGCTCTCCATAGGAAATGCTTTTCAATGCTTTCCTATGGGGCATTGAGCGACACTGGAGGTCCTCACACAGCGTGAGGAAGTCCAGCGACGCTCTAGCACAGAAAACCTGTGCTATAGACACAGAAGTGCCCTCTAGTGGCTATAGACATGGAAGTGCCCTCTAGTAGAAAGCCACTAGAGGAGGAGTTAACCCTGCAAAGTAATTATTGCAGTTTTATTAAAAACTGCAATAATTACAGTTGCAGGGTTAAGGGTAGTGGGAGTTGGCACCCAGACCACTCCAATGGGCATAAGTGGTCTGGGTGCCTGGAATGTCTCTTAAGCTCTACTGTTTTAGATTACTTCATAATGCTATATACAAATAAGAGTTTATCCTCTTATTAAATTCTGCTGCAGTGATCTTTTCAATAAGGATACATAGGGACTTACTTTACAACACACATTGTATATTGGATATTAGTGAAATTTGTATTCATTTCGAAAAAGTACTTTAAGTGCTAGGTTAGAGGTTTCCCTTTAAGGAGCTAATTAGGAGATAACGGCCGTTTAATACGGCACTTGATAATTCTGTGATGTTCCAATGACAGATTGGACACATGACCTCACTTATGGGTGGGTATACACCCTATTTAAACAGACTTGAGAGTACCCTGTTCATATCTCTTGAGAAAGGCCCAATTTGTGCCGAAACGCGTGTCGAGTTGACGGCAGTCCAGAGCACTATTCACTGATGTGTACTTAGTTTGTTTCACGGTGTGGCTAGGTTGTTTGGCTATTTCATCTTTAGGAAAGGGCTCCTTAGTGGGTACTGGGAACTGCCTCAAAGCAGTTCAAAGGAGTTATTAGTTTATCTAGCATTAGGATTTATTTATAATCTATCTAATTTTATTAGGAGTCATAGGCAGAGTACATATCGACGTTTTGTTCATCTAACTTAGCGCTGCCGTATCGTTATGCCATTATGGCTCAAGCGGTTTATTTAACATGTATTTCCTGGCTAATCATGGCAGCATCACTTATGGGTAGCTCCACCCCTAACCACATCAGGACAGGTTTAACTAATAAAAAAAGAGAGATAAATAGACTGGAGGCATAAAAGGTTCCTCCTCCTTCCATACCTCTTTTTTCCTGTCCTTAACCGGACAGACAGATTAAAATTTTATTTAGCAAATTTCTTAGTCATTTGAATCTGCTTGTAAATCATATATCATGCTGAGGATCATGGCTCCATTGATAAAATCAGAAGCCTTGTATATTCCCTCTACAGAACCCAGAGGCAATGGGAGATAGACTTTTCCCTTCTTCATTCGGGAGGTTTTTCTTCTCCTCAATTCGTGTACTCACGTGTTCGGCAGTTTATTCATGTTCCTGTGGTAAGCCTAGCATATGGTAAGTGATTCTCTGTTCGTTCATTTCATTTAGTTTGTTTCTTCCGTTCAATTTCTATGGCATTTGTTTCCTTTCTAAGGGATTCTCCAGGCTATCTTCAATTCGTTTATACCACGGTTCTCATAACTGGGGAGAACTGAGCTAGAAAAAAGGCGCGAACGGCTCAGCGTTCTCTCGAGTGATCTGCGCATGTGCAAACATTCTCACTTAAAAAGACAGTCTTTTTCATTCAATTCTTAAAGTGTCTAGCTCTTAAAGTTCCTAAACTATTCTGGAAAGTTATTCAATACTGCCAAAGTCTTTTTTTTTTCCCTCAGGTAAGAATTATTTCTTTATCCCCATTTTCAATTTTTATTCTTAATCATATTAAGGTAACACTATTCTTCACTCCTTTTTTCTTTTAGATGTCTTCTCCCTCTGCTTCCCACCGCTCAGGTTCAAAGAAACATAGGTGAGCCAAGTTTTTATCTACATATGGGGAACAAAAGAGTGCCATAAAGGCCCCATAGTTAATTACATGGCCTTTCTTATCTTGCAGCCGAAGCATGAGCCGGGATAGATCTCAAAGGAAACACAAGGAAAAATCTAATCACTGCTTGGCCTACAGTAAAATGGCTCTAGAGGATAAAAACCTATGCCTCACCTGCATGACAGAAGTGACAGACAACCAACCTTCTCCTCAAGAAGAACTTAAGACCTGGATATCCCAAGTCATAGCTGAAGGCTTCTAGGCTTCTTCAAAACACATCCCCTCTAAGAAATGTCAAAAAGCTTAGTCTTCCCTAATTTGAATCTGAACTGGAATCCTTTGAGGAATTTACTGATGAGGCGGATGAAGATCTGGAATATGGCCCTAAATCCTTAGACT